GTGGTTTGCTGGAGTCCTGGACGTGCAGCCTTTCTAAATCCATCTAATGCAATTACAAGGCTGACCAAACATGGCTTCAAACCTGTGAGAAGTCATTTGGCACATCACCTTGCAGATGTTGGAACATTCTTAGGTCAACCAATAAGAGATTGCCGGTCGGATGAGGTCATCCCAAGACACTCACCTGTCAGGATCGATGGCACCCGTGTAGCTTTGCAAGACCTCGCTCCGCGTGCCAGGTGGGACCCGTTCAGCCTTTGTGCGAATGGTGCCAAGTGGGGCCCCAGGAAGGCATTGACCACCACGCAACTGGAAGCCTTTGATTGGTTCGAGGCGGGGTTGGATCTTGCGGCCTATCCAGCGTATCCGGTCCAAAGATGGACTGGGAACATATGGACGTGATTCATCGTGATTCCTTGGGCGATCGCCGATTCGACTTCCATGAGGGCGTGCTTGTGGCCGTTGATTCCCCACAATTTGATCACAGACTCCTCGAACCACGAACAGGGAGCATGCGCCAAATTGATCCATTGTGCTTCATCCTTTGGGAAACAGAACCCTGAAACAGTCAGCCCACAAATGCCCATGCAGAGAAGGCAACGCATCGGTCACCGCTGCTCATGAGGGTCCTTTCTGCGGCATCAGGATCTGGCAGCCTTCACTGAGATGATGGGTGACGATGATCCAGACGGAGAGCTGCTGGGCGATCATGGAGGGGTCCGTCGTTTTGCTTCTCCTGGGAGCGCTTTGGTGGGTCATCAAAGCGAGGATCAAACAATCCCTAGTAGGCAATCCAACTGTACGGGAATTCAACAGTATGTATGGATGGGATGCTGGCAATCTTAAGATATGAACGTGGGGGTAATGTATGGCGCAAACCCATCCCAGATGTGAGTATTATAGGACTAGCGTGTGGCCCGCCCGAACAGAGTGAGGCCCCCAAGAAAGGCGGTTTGGTGTTTTGTTTAAGACACTTGTGACTCCATTGCTCTTGCACGAAAATGCTGAAGATCAATGCATTTCATGACGGCCCCATATACTACGTTCTTGTGACAGATCAGAGCACCTTAATTATAAAAACAATTAGGATTGGTCGGTTTTCAGGAGGGTCCCGGTTTGTGTCAACCTTACAACGTTAAACAAAAAACACCAATCAAGTTCGCTGGTGCTCCTTCACTCACTGTAACTAGACTTTCCTGATGCTGTTTGTTTCATGTTCCGATTCCAACTTCTATCAGTGTCAGGTTGGTTCCAAAGATCGTGCAGAAATGCATCTTCCCCGAAGTGGCTCGCCGACTGCCCTCGCCTTAGTGCAAAAGAATACTGCGCGTAAATCCAAGCCGTAAGAAAACGTACCGTGAGGACTTGTTTGTGCTGACTTGTGTTGTTCAGTGGCTCCACGAATCCTAGAATGGACAGCAATGCCTCTCCATAAGATTCAACCTTTCTATCAAGGTTTGTCAATTGCCTTGGATTTTTGAGCCCTTAAGACTTTAAAGTTGTTCCGTTGTTCCTGCTTGAAGCAAAGGGGTTCATATCGAGAGTTGGGTGAACATAAAGACATACAGCTACACAGGCTGCATGGCAGACTTGAGCACAAGAGTGTCGGCCCAGTGATGGAAGAACTCAAGTAAATACTTGGAGATCCTGCATTTGAGCTGGGGCAGGATTCTTCCTTTAAGGATTTTTGTGAGTTCATGATTGATCTACAGGACCAGGTGTTCCAAAGTAGCGGTGCGTGAGTGGAGTGTGGGCATGTGATCAGGCCCCCCTTAGGCCCCTCCATGTTCGGCACCGTCCACTGGGACGAATAGGCGCCAGTGCTGGGACGTGACTTGCATCGAGCAAAGCAAGCGCGCTGCGGCACTCTTGGACGAATGCTTGCTCTTCGAGGCGGGGAAAACCCCCCCGCGGTAGAAACGACAGACACCGCCCAAACGGTGGTCACAGTCCGTAGGTCTTCAAAGACCATCCGCCGAGCCGAGCGGTGGTTGTGAGCCGCCTCGATGTCTCTCCTTGGCCACAAGCACCATGGCACCAAAGGGATCAACCAGGGGGAATCTGTTCGTAAACTCGGTGTTTTGGAAAACTATGGTCGGAAGGAAAGATAAGTCGGTGATTTCAGAGGGAATAAGTCACGATATGTCACGATCATCCGATGCCACACTACAAATCTGCTCGATCCGACCCATTCTACCCCTGTGCTTCCTGAGTCAGTCACCGCTTGTGTCGGGCAACTTCAGGAAAAGGAAGACTACTTCGATCATCTTCGATCTATTATAAGCTCAAGACATCTCAAGACCCACTACAAGCATTTAGAAGCTACCTGGTACCTAGTACATCCGCAAGGCGAACGGACATAGTACCGAACTCCTTGCACCCGATGTCATTGTGTTGTTCCATGTTGTTCCATCACCGGGCCCAAAGCGCTCCAAGAAGGCCTCACCGACCCTTCTCGAAGTGACCACCTTTGGCAGTAGAGGTAGTCTAGAGGCGTAGTTTTTGGGGCGCGTAGATGATATATGCATGGCTATACCTGGATCCTCCTTTGGGCGGAAAAAAGTGCCGGACCTCAATCCGGCAAAATTTTCCGCCGGATTCCGAAAAAACGCCGGAGACCTGAAAAAACATCCGGATCCAAGATTCTGAAAAACAGAGATGATAAAAGGTTGGATCATACACAAGCAAACTGCCTTTGCGCCGCGAGTAGTTTTTCTGGAGCACACTCGAACCTTCCTGTTCCCATTGCCCTCGCCCATCTTCCGAATGGAGCAGAAATCACAAAACAAACGCAATTTGTGCCCAAGCAAAGACTTCCAAGAAAAAACCAAGGAGTATGTGGCAAGGAACCCCTCTTTCTCTGCAACCGTGTCTCTCAAGTGTTTTTTTAAAAAGTGGGTTGCTCTTCATGATTCTCATGCTTCTTAATGTTTCTTTAAAGCTTGCCTCAGGACGGCCCCCCAATAAAGTAGCAGAACTCATGGTTCCTGTCAAAACTCTTCTGTGAAAAACTGTTCACAATCAAAGCCTGCAGAACACTCAGTCCAACAAAAATACGCCGGAGTTACGGGAAAATACGCCGGAGTTACGGGAAATTACGCCGGAATTACGGGAGATTACGCCGGAGTTACGACGTGCAATTTTTTGACAACTCTCTGCAAAACATTGAGATTCTGAACAACACATGTTCCACAGCCCAAAACGTGTCCGGCAGGCTCTGCAAACCTGCGCAGCTAGAACTATATCCCAGCGCCCCGACATCCTGAAACAATGGGAGTACTGTACATTCTTGCCTATGCTCTTTCAGCTTAGGTGCAACCACTTGGGTCTTTCAACAGGTGCATCGCACTGTACCGGCTTCATCCGATTTCATTTAGAAGATCAGCTAAACGGATCTGATTGATCCAGTGTGAACCATGCTGAAACCGGTGGAATGAGAAAACAGCGGAACAGGCAAACGAGCACACTTTGCAAACAAAATCATTGCATCAGTAGTGGGTTTAACTTCAAAGAAATGCAGGCCACAAAGAATGCAAAGCCTCGAGAATCCACATAAAGTGACTTGGAAAAAGCGCCGGACCAAATCCAGAAAAACGCCGGAGTTGGAAGTCCGGCGCCGGACCCTGTAAAAGTGCCGGACTGAAGATCTAGGTATGATGATATCATCGATATTATATTGTGTAGTATGAGCAAAATGTATGTGAATGTATGTGATATGATGTGTATATTCCGGTTCTACGGCTTGTCATTCCCTCCCTCTCTTGCCTCTAGGAGGCTTGGGCTTTTTATTCTCCCATTCTCCCTATGAAGATGGTGCCAGGTGGGTGAAGATGGCGCCTTCAACGAACTGCTGTTGGCCGCGCTGGAGCGCTTGCGTGTGTGTTTGCGGCAGTTTGCACCTGTGACTTGGCGATGCTGGGTGTGCGCACTTTGTAGGGGTCACTTGGTAGGTGTGCAGGTCTTTTTTGCCACCAAGGAAGTCTTCGTCCCTGCGCACTTGGTCTCTTCGTGGTACGCATCTCCCGTGCGAAAGCGCCTACTGTGGCGCTGCTGCAAGAATCATGGTCGCAGGAATTGCCCCTGTTAAACGCGTTTGGCCAACTCACGCCAGGCCTCATGGAGAGTCACTTTGTGTGTTGAGTGCGAGCTGCACTTGAAGCATTCTCACTCATACAGCACTTGCGCACTCGACGTGCAAGTAAACACTCAATTCTTTTCGGTGGGTCGTAGACCCGCAGAGCAACTGCGATGTTCGAAGACCAAGCAGCTGGGTTTATTGAAGACATTCCTATATATCAACTCGTAGACCTCCCAAGTTGTCGTTCTCCTCCCCCAGGATCGCCGCCTGCGCGGCACACTTGGAGGGCCGTGTGGCCGACGAGCAGCTCGCGCCCTTGGTGCTCCGAGAGATCTTCGCGCTGCGACGCTCGGTCGGTGGACGAGGGAGGCGGAAGTCGTTTGGAGGGATTTCACGACCACCATAGGAGGAAGCGGAAGTTCGGTTTTTTGACAGACCCCAAGATGTCCTTTAGATGGGGGTCCATATAAACCACCTCTTGGGTTCTGTGCCATCTACTCTCAATCCACTATAGGTCAGAAGGGTCAGACTAGGAAGTCCATAGGTCATATGGATGAAGTTCGGAAGGTCCACTTTTTTAGTTACTAGTTTGCATGAAGGCACAGGCAGCCTGAACCAAGGGTCTTTCGAGGGAGGGTGTTTGGTAGAAAGGAAGCTGAGGTTGGGTTTGCGGGACGGCGGACTGCAACGCATCAGAGAAGACATGAAAACATACATCCATTGCGCCTCTACATACTTTGGCCGGTTTAGGCGCCCAAATTGATGGAAGCCCAATAAAAAGGGATCCCCCCCAAGCAAACACGGGGGCTTGCTCAAAACTGTTTTCACTATATATGTATAGCTTTACCTCTCGGTGTGATTTCACGGCCTTCGGAATCTCCTTCGGGAACGCTTCGAATACGCCGAGGCATGGCGCCCCACTTACAGGGCCCGCGGCTGCACCTGGAGGACGGCCGGACTCGGCCGGTGTTTTGGGGAGAAGCGCAAGAGGCAAGTGGGAAGAAAAAGGACGCAAAACACCCAACTCTCCCTAGGGATCCAAGCACCTTCGCAGAAGGTGATTGGAGGCACTGATATGTAGGTTTGGAGGGTCCAAGTACCTGTACCTTCTGAGAAGGTACTTGGATCCCTAGGGTCTATAAACCAATGACCAATACCTCCACACTTTTTGGGGGAGATTGTCATGGATGGTCTCCATTGAAACAGGCCGTGGTGGGCAGAAAGAACCCTTGGGCCCATAGCCACTGGGACCTTCCCTCGAAGCGATGCCGAAGGATGACCTTCAAACCGGAGGAAACTTGGACACTCTCGATCAGAAGGCTCTCCAAGGGAGTAAATGCCCATTGACCCTGCATGAAACGGCGACCGTGTCTGAAGGGGAGATACTTTGCCAGTCCCATGGAGTCAAATACATTAATGTAACTTGGAGATACTTCTTGCGAGGGGTAGAAATCAGAATCAAAGAGGGATCAGGTTTCGCTGTTGATCAGCCAATCCGGGCCCCGCAGGAGATGGACTTGCTCGAGCGCTTCATTGAAGCTCTACCTGAGAGGCCTTCAAGCCAAAAGCTCGGAGCCGTTTGTCATCTCAGTGTTCCGTCAAGAGACCAAAATAAAACACCCAAAGGGAACCAAAGAAGATATGTACCACAGATAGTTTTAAGCGTACGAGTCCGATCGCACAAGCAAACTGTATAACCCAACCAAAGCGCTGGGCTGAAATGCTTCGAAAGTTGCACCGCTCGCAGGTGGTTGGATCCCTTGCCTGCTGCCCTGTCCCCCTTGCGCGATTGCTTGGGCCCACGCGCGCCGAAGAATGCGGAGCTGTCAGCCGAGCGAGCGTACAGGCTCTTGCAGAAGATGAAGTGATGCTTAGCCTGAAAGACGAGGAAATTCCGTTGCGGTGTTTGGGGCTGAGCGATCGCTCGCTGTGGCTTCACACGGGGCCGGCACAAACTCCACAGCCGCAACAAAGCTGGTCTAGAGTTGTTCACCACTGTTTGGTAATGCACTTGGCTATATTACGTTGTTTTCAGCTCCAATGGTTGAATAATGTTGAATATGTGTTGCCCTCAAAGATGATACTGTAGCAAAAAATCAGGAATTCATCAAGGACAGTGCTCTATCGCAAGCACGTCGATGCTAGTTTTGCCTGGCTTTTCGTGCAGAAACACGGCACCTCCGAAAACCATCAAACCCTGCTCCCAGTCCCAAAGGTCACCTAACCATTCAGAGACTTTGGCAGATGATAGAATTATAAAGAACTTTCATATGGTAAGGCCAGAATCCGTGATTTAAAAAAGAAGTCAACAAAAAGTCAACTGGAAAAGTCAAAGTCAAAAAAACGTCAAATTGAAAAGTAAAAAAAACATCGAAAAAATACAAAAAAGGTCAACCATAGACCACAGCTCAAAAAAATCAAAAAACAGTCAAGAAAAAGAGTTAAAAAAAGTCAAAACTGTGGCTCCTTGCCTTGGCGGATTACTGGAGTCAAGAAAAGGCAATAAAAAAGTCAAAAAAAAAATGGAAAAACAGTCAACCATAGACCACAGCTCGAAAAAGTCCAAAAAAAAAAGTCAAAAACAATTCAAAAAAAACAGTCAAGAAAAAGTCGAAAAACAGGTAAAAAAAGTCGGATCAGATCTGGGCAAATTGATTTGTTTTTGACTTTCTGAAAATTTCTGATTTGACTTGTTTTTTGACTTTGACTTTTGGGATTGACTTTTTTGTGTTTATTTTTTTAGACTTTTTTAAATTTAGAAAACAGGCTCTTTCCAATGAAAGTGTTTTTTGTAATGATAGAATGAAGAGATGCGTGTATGTCATGCGGTACTGTGTGCAGCTACACGACTCAGTGGCTTTGGTATTATTGTTGAGTTTGCAATTGTTGAGTCAACGAAGTCGACAATTGAAACCACATTAGGCAACCAGTCAACAACCATTCATCAACGAAGGCGCTGTTTGATCTATCGACCGTCGATCCTCTTCGAGCTTTTAACGCCTTGTCGTTGCTGATCCAGGCTTCGATGAGGCTGCTGCCCTGAAGCTTTGACAAAAAGAGCCCGCAGTGGCGGTGCTTCTCGAGCCTACAGGTGTTGGATGGTGTTGGAGGAGGTTCTTTTTGAGGTGATTTAGGCTAACATTCCACCCTTTTGTGTCAGGATGAGAAGGGACAGTGGTGTCGACCCTTGATTCGGTCTATACGGATGAAGGTCCAGAAGTCCATCTAAATGGTAAAACAAGCATATCGTGTATAGAGGACCGTTGTTCCGTAGTTTCTTCCTGCAGCTTTTGGCTGTGAAAAATCCTTGTTCACATTGTTTCTTGTTTTGCTGGCACAGTTGCCTTTTCTTTGCGAGTGTGGGTACGACCATGGACCATAGTCCCATACCGTATCCATACCCTTTGTAGATGCTGTGCAACTATCAGCGGTTCTGGCCAAGCATTTCCATTGCAATCGAGAGTCCAATCAAGCCTCCCTTGCCCCTTGCGGATTGGTCAAAGATGCTGGAAAATCACGGTAAGATTCCGAATAATGGCTGCTACTCAGGTCAGCGTAACCTAATTCAACTTGCATTTCAGACGGGACCAGCCTCGTTCAGTTCTGAGATGTCAAACGACCAGACTTGACCGACCGAAGACATCAAATTAGGTGTGGCGATATATGTGCCGCCTGCATGTTGCATCTCCAGCTGTTCAAGAACCTTATAAATGTGAAACGGTGAGAGTGAGACACTGAGACGAAATGAAAGTCACATCGGATACAAGATGACACAGCCACACGGTCATACATGTTTAGTTTCATGAAACATGGCATATCATAGAGGCAGCAGCAGATCCAATCGGTATCAAACGATGAGGGCCACATATTGAGGGGAGGTGTGGCATGGTGTAACAAGTCAAGGGAGGATGCCATCCATGTTGCTTTGCAACCATTCTCAATATGTTCCGCATCAACCCATGTTCAAGTAGCATGGAGTGACCTATTCTCCCTCTCAAGCAGGGTGACTCAGTTGGCTCGCTTGACGACAAGAGGTTGCAACCAGCTACTGGTGTTTAGCACCAACAGTCGAACACCATGCATCTCTCGAGCATGCCGTCGAGCCCGCGGCTCTGGCTGCCGCGCAGCGCGCGCAGCGCTTCGCCGGAGCGTGGCATCTCTCCAAGTAGATCTTACATTGTCTTGGGTGGCGTTCCTCAAGGCTCTTGCTGCTCTGCATCCCCAACTTATTCAACGCCTTCCCGGCCCATGTCCCACCTGGCCAGAGTGGCCGTGGCACCCTCCCAAGCTCCACGTTACGTGGGGCTCAATGGGCTCCACGTGGGGCTCAATGGGCTCAAGGCTGGTTCGCGGCTCCCTGCTGGTCCTCGGCTCCCTGCTGGTCCTCGGCTCCCTGCTTCTGCTCCCCCAGCGCCACTCTCTCCCCACAACGCCTCGGGCGATGGCGATGGACGCCGTCCGTTGGTGCTGCTGGCACGACCTGGTGCAGCTGTGATGCAGATCAGCCCAGAGGATGCCCGACCTTCAGAGCCTGGGTCCTATGCGATGGTGGGATGGTGGGATGACTGGGAACGTGCCCAATGGAAGTGGTATGAAGTGGTAATAGACATTCTTGGCCTCTTGGCAGGTCCAGGCCTTTTTGGATCGTGCCACAGGGAAGGAACAAGTTTGGAGTGGTCGACCCAGGTGCCCCCGGATCGCGAGCCTTCTCGTTCAAGCGCCAGAATCTTACGGAGGGACTACCAGATCAGATTGGGCTAAGATGGGCCAACTTCACCTCCCAACTGCTTCAAAGTCCAACCAATGCAAATTGTCTTGGCCACGGGTTGTCGAACTGTCCTGCACCGCCAGAACTGCCCATGAATCTTGACTAGGCCACCGTTCGGTGGGGTTCTTCGCGCCAATCGAATCATATTGATGTTTGCCCTCAGAGAGCCCAACCAGAAGAAGCACCCCTTCTGGTTCCTCAGGAAGACTCACTCGCAAGGCAGCTGCGCGCGCTTCAGGACTCGGCACCGTTGGGTGGTTTGATCTCCACCCCATCTCCAAGGTCTTTCGAAAGACCAGGTCGCTTCTGGGATAAGGATGATAAGGTTAAGTTGAGTACATGGTTAAGTATACAGGTCGCTCATGTACCATAAGGTAGCTGCAGCAGCTCACGTACCATAATGATGCATGCCTTGCTTCTGCGCAGAGAAGTTGGGAGACCTGAACTTGGATCCCAAATCGGGCAGATGGACTAGGCAATGCAGGGCTGTTCAACCCCGCTAGGTTTCTGGAGAATGGCATTTTGATGTTGGTCCTTTGATCCCTTATCGCAGACGCCCAGAGCCGTGAACCGGGTGCCAAGCCGTGAAGCGCAGGAAGCCAAGAACCTGGCCGCCCAAGAGCAGCAGCGCAGTGACGAGCAAATCGCTCGGCGTCAGGCGGCCCCCTTGAATGAAATTTTATTGTTCTGGGGGGGGGGAAGATGTAATACATAGATTTGATTATAGTTTTTATATATGTTAACCGGCACCTGGGTTTCAGTGAGCGACCTCAAGTTCCATTTTTGCAACACCGCCCGGTTCGAAGTGGTAGCATGCTGATCCAATTGAGAGAACCGACCAGCAACCCCAAAATAGATATAAATAGAATCAATAGAATCATGAATTGCTTCCGAATACTGCTGTATAGGCCCTACCTCCATCTATTTACAGTGATTTCAGAGTAGATGGCACAACCCGCAAGATGTCCTTTACACAATGCATAGGGTTCCATATAAACCACCTTTTGGATCCTTTTGGGGATTGTCCCATCAACTCTGAATCCACACCTCGTTGGTCGCGCCGCATCGCGCTGCCCCAGCAGGACCAGCTGAGGCGCGAGACCGTCCGGGTGCTGCAGACCACGCCGCGCCTGCACGACGCGTTGCAGCGGTGGCCTTCACCCACGACACCGAGACTGGAAGTGGTGGCCTTGAGTGGCCCAGCTGCAGTGGAAGCACAGAAGCACCGCAAAAATATGCGAAGACATACTGTATGCTACTGCGATGACAGCATTGGATCCAATTCTAAAGTTGTTCCTTTCAGAGAAATGCGCGTAAAGAAAGGTGGGCGTGGCGGAAGCTTCAACCTTGTGGCAACACATTGAAGACTTAGATCCTTGTGGTCCATTTCGGACATCCCTTCAGGTGAAAAGAGCGCCGCCAGCCCGGAGGAGGAGTTACCCGGAGACTCCTCCACCTTGCCTGCGCCTGAATCCCCAGAACCTGCGAGCAGCATCCTCGTGGGCACAGACTCTGGAATGACAAAGGAAGCGGCGCAGGAAGGGTCGCGCGCACATGAGCGGTCACCTCAGAGCTCGGCTTGCAGCTCGGCGTGTGGAAAAGCGGCCGGGTCCACCTGCGCGGGTTTTTTGGCGAGTTGGACATAATGTTGACGTAGGATCAATCAACCCCCCCTTCAAGGTCAACAAGGTTTGAGATTGGAGGTATTGGAGACCACATCCTCAGTCACATCCCCTTAATCAAGGTGATGACCTGATGATGGAGGATGATTGTTCTGTGTGAAACATGAGAGAGCTCTTAGATGCTCTTAGTATATTGGCACCAGCTTGACAAGAGATCTGATAGATCACAGCCATGCCAATTAGGATCACTGCATTTGAGAGCATGGAGAAGGAATAGGAGATGGATGCTTTGTGTGATGAGAGTGGATGCCTATACTGGATGGTCAGGTTGGTGGAGTGTGGAGGATTGGTATGACCTCATGGCCTATGACACCCAATAGGAGAGAGATGAATGAGCAGATAGCTAGCGAGTACAGGTATTCCAGTGGGTGTATGGACTGCAACGTTTGGAAATGCACAGCCTATTGGATGAGGAGGG